AAAAAAAAAAAAAAAAAAAAAAAAACGAAAAAACAAAAAAGGACACTCCGAGACGATCTTGTCACACCAAGTCGAATCGACTCATTGTCCCCTCTCGTTGTCTGTCTGGTTCGTGACGTAATATTTCATATACACGATATTGTACGATTTGGTGTAAAAAAAAAAAAAAACAAAAAAGAAAAAGGAAAGGTGAAACGCGTTAACCGACAATTTAGAAGCTTCCACGCAGGCTTCCTGTTCTTCCTCTTCTTTCTTCGTCTCGGAGAACAGCATCGGCCCGCAAGACGTTTCGGAAGTATGAGGGCGCAGATGGGATTGTGTTTAATGAAGTTTGGCCCGAGTTGCACCTGCCACTTTCGTGGCATCTCGAAGCGACGCGACGGCCGTTACACTGCCTCGAGCACGGTTCAAGAAATTGGCGGGAACCACGTTCCCAGGCCCACCTCGAAATTCGATCGCGCTTACGCGATTTTCGTGCCGTTTCGTTACCTCAACGCTACACAACTACCGGCGACTAAAAGCATAGAATTTTTTATCGGAGATATCAAAGCGAGGAAAATGAAAAAGCTACCGAGCTTTCAATTTATATATATTTGGCGAAAAATTATTTGAATCTTCGAATATACACTGTTTCTGTGAAATATAAAATTTCTAAGAAAAATCACAAATTGGTGGTTTTGACCATTTTGGTACTTCTGGTGTTAAACCTTATCTCTTGCCTATCAAACCATTCGACAGTACATGTCCGAGAGAAGTTCGGTTATGTCGTTAATGCGACTGTTTCGCCAGAATATATGACACGTACTTTGTTGCAATTTCGTTTGTTGAATTAAATTAAAATTTCGCATATTTGTGGTCGGCAACGGCTCCTATATATTTGCACGATTGCACAATGATGAAATTAATTATTTGAATCTAGCGAGAACTGTCCGCTGCTCCCTGTTGAACGAAAGAAACGCGAGTACCGACCTAACACCGAAATCTAACTAACGAAAGTTCGATCGACGACATTTAATTGCTGTCGACGCGATCGATTTAAAAACTTTTTCAGCGTTTCTCGAAAGTTTCATTCGGCAGGGAAAAATGCGTTCAACGTAGGTACACGACAAGTTTCCGTTCTTCCTTTATTCGCGTAGTGGCTGACGTGCAGGACCAGGTTTTCGAAGATGGTAGCTGCCTCGAGGGCTGCCATCCGTCAAGCAACGTGAAAGGTTCTGCTCCTGTTTGCGGCAATTTAATTACGCCACGGCATCTGGCGATCCGGTGTTCGTTTCCTGGCTCAGCTTCTTTCCTTTCTCTCTCTCTCTCCTCTTTCATCCACCCACTCTAACCGCTAACGCAACCGCAAAACACCGAGAGACACCGGGTGGACTTTTCGGAAACGAAACATCGCCGGCTCGCGGCTCGTTCAATTTCACTTGTTTAAATCGTCGACGGGAGAGAAAGATAACAGCTGCATAAAACGTTGTTTCAAATAAACCGGTGAAACGCGTACAGTCCGCGAACGAGAAGAGAAGTGATCGATCGTTGCGGGGAATGGTGGGTGTCCGAAAGAGGAGGATTATGAAGAAACAACGGTGGAAGTATCGCGCGATTCGTTCGACGGCGAATGCTCTGTTTCTAAGCGGAACAGCTGTTCGACCCCCCTCTTCTGGCCGTCTCCAGGCCGGCAGATCTGCTGGTATATTCGATCTATCTGAAGAAACTATCGTGCGGAGGTGGTTTCGAGAGGGCAACGGCGAAGCTAGGTATACACGAGCAGCTGGATCGAGTAAAAGGACTCGAGAAACTCTCGGTCACGCCTCTCCCTCCCACACTCCCATTTATTGTTCGTATCTAATGCTGCTCTCTTTCGCTTTCGGAGAAATAAGATCTCGACGACGAAATGGCTCCTTCGCCGAGCCGTATTGTCTCAATTCTTAATTGTGCACGACCGCGAGTCAGTTATTATTTTTCCTCCTTGCAAAATTCTCTGCTTCCTCCCGAGGAAGAGAGAGAGAGAGAGAGAGAGAGAGAGAATGTATCAAAAATCTGAAATCTTCTGAAATTCGCTCTCTCAGCCGATCGTTTACAGTTCACGTAGAGAGCACGAAACGTTCTTCAGTGGACAGAGGGCAGCGAGCGTTTAATTTTCTCTCTCCTCCAATGCTCTTGCCCTATCGCACGGAAGGTTAACGCCGGGAAATGACCGAAAGCCGATGTTGCACGCACGGGTACAAAGCGGAGAGGAACATCCTGTGTTAAACGTGCTCTCCTCGGTTGCACACGCCATTTTTCCTGTCGTGGATAAATCAGCTCAATCGTTCTCGTACACAGAGAGCGCAACGATCGGCAAGTTTCTTTTTTTTTCGTATTATTCAATCTTCCGTCAGTTTGCCACAGTCGATGAATTCAAATTATCTTCAAGTCGAGTGTTTGCTGGTTCGAAGGTGAGTTGCAACGATCAAAGTCTGTTCACCATCCACGATTGAACGTGTATATTTCTGTTTGGTCGCCGCGTGGCGTTTATCCTTTCCTCCTGCGGGGGATTCCAGATTTTTGAGAGCATCTGCATTCGGGCAGCTGGCTACCTCCTTCGCCACTTGTCCTCTCGATCTATGAGAAGCGCGATATACAAAACGGGACATTTCCATTTGGAGCAACTGAAAAGACCCGAGATCGGCGGAATTGTGAGAGCAACAGAACGATCAGAGATGGACGAGTACAAACGTTCGAGAAAGGATTGCTCAAGGTTGAGGAAGCACCGAGGCTGAAAAGTCCAGCGGATTCCGAGCGCCGAGTTTACGGGCGACGCAGAAAGGAACCGGAAGGAGCACGCGCCTCGTGATAGGACAGATGACCAAACATGTTGAAATGTATCGAGTTTCCTTGGTAAAGGTGCGTTTATACACCGAGGCCACGCGAAGGATTCTATTTGTTTTCGGCTTCCTTGTGGTAAAGCCGCGCACGTGAAAAGCCAGCTTTGTTTTCTTACGAACGCTCCAGGGTATCTGAGTGTACAGGTGATTACGAACACGTCCCCTTTTGTTCGATCTCTCTCTCTTTCTCTCTGTCTCTCTCTTGCACTCGTCGTCCTTCTTCAGTCGCTCTTCCTTGCTCTTTTTTGCGCACGTACTTGCTTAAACGCTCTGGCGACGGTAGATAAAATTTTCCAGCAGTTTCCGGAGGGACAAGCATCTCTGCCGTGATCAAGAAAAGACGCAATCGCTTTTCCAGAGTCGATTTGCTCGGATATAGTATAGATCGGATTTTCATCACTGGCCGAACGGTTGGACGAGACTTTCGTCGCGGCAGCTTCGTTTGATGTTTGAAAAGATCGGCCGGCCTCGGTGTACGTTACCCGCGATGATGTCGGATGACGTGTCTCGGCCAAGGAGAATTTACCTACAAAAAGAAAAAGGAGGAAGAGCCAACGCCGATCGGGCTGTCCGCCGAGAAGTAACGTTCTGTTCCTTTCTTTCGTTCGGAGCATATGCTGCCAGCTGCTCGCGACGCGCCGGCCAAAGGGTTGAGTCTCGAATTTTCAAATTCCATTCTTCGCGATTTCTCTCCACACACTTCCTCCTCCGTCTTTGTCCGGTGTCTGGCCGTGTCCGTTCGCGGGTCAGCTGTTGATCGTTATTTTCTTTTTCAAACTTGAACGCGTACGTATCCTCGTCCAACGAGGCGTCTGCTTTCCAAATTCGAGCGCCCGAAATGGCGAACGAGAAAATTCTCACGGCAGGCGTTGGAAAAGCGATCGTTTCAAGAGGAAAGAGAAAAGGAAAGGAAAGAATCCGGTAAATCGCTTTTATAACGCATTTAATCCATTAGGGTGTTCAGGCGAGTGGAAAATGATCGGCCCTGTAATCGTCTTCGGTTCGAGTTTGAAAGTCGATTCGGTATTAACTACATCCTGACGCGGAACCCCTGCGGATCGGTTTCTCTCTAATTTTCGACGATGCACTGACGTCACCGCGTTCCCCGTTGCTGTTCCGGTCGGCGTGCTCGGGACCGGAAGCAACGGACTCGTTGGGGAGCGCGGAGCGTTCGAACTGAAAAATCCCCCACGGATATCGATGTTCTCGCGTTTAAACGAGCAGGAAGTTGATACTCCCTCGAGGACTCGACGGTTGCCCTGAGAAACGTGGCAAAGTCTGAAAAGCCACTCGAAGCCACTCGGAGCCACTCGGATGATGTTCGTAATAATACTACCGTTCCGTGAGAAAAAAAGTTCGATAAAAAGGGAAAATAATTTTTGTTTTTTTCTTTTTTCGATTGGAGTACGATAGATACAATTCGACATGCGCGATAAATAACGTTTATCGTGAGTTTCTGAAAAAAAAAAAAAAAAAAAAGAATTCGGACGTTATTCGGTGCTCGAAATGTGGGAATATCGCGAAACGAAATTCTTTAAAGCAATCGCAAAACCTCGGTAATAATCGTTACGGCCGCTGACCATCGTGGTCACGGTGTTCACCTGTCCGTACGTTTGGTCACACTCGAAGCCGCTTTACACGTACACGAACTCACATAAGCTGGTGCGCCCGCATGATCTACGGTGTACTGTGTTTTTTCGCTCGTTTTCTGTAACGGTCGAATTTACCCCCATCGCGTGGAGACCGTGATATATACAGAGCCAGGTACGCTCGTTCGCACTATTTGCAATTGCAATGTTTCGTTTGTTGGCTCGTGTCAATTGTATATGCACGATTGAAATGTGTTAAAAAAAGAAGGATATTTCCAATCGTCGATCCACCTTGTAGTGAAATTTTGACCTTGAACGGGTTCACAACGCAACGCGCCAACCCGTATCGTGACACAATGCCAGTTTTCAAAATTCTGCGAACACCGTGATCCGGTATAAAAACGCGTGAAAATATTGCCAATGGTGCAATTAAAATCGAATGATCATCAAGGATCTGCATCATCAGGCCGGCGTCAGATTATATCGTGATTATTGTTGGAAAAAAATAAAAAAGGGCAATCGCAACGACGCGACGCGGTCAATTTTCAACACGAAAACTTGTTCCTACATCGGCTCTCTCTTTTTCTGCCTGGTCCACCTGCTTTCGAACGATCGTTCTTTTTTCCTTTCGTCGCTGAACGCCGAGCTGCCCGCGAAAATACATACAGAGCACGTATTACTGACGATCCATCGTAGACTGTCCAATAATTCAGGCGTAACTCTTCATGTGATCCGTGTCAGAAAATTTAATTTTTCTTCCAGTCTTTGAGCAAATTATCAAATGGATATTTTAATTATCTGCTTTGGACATTGGACACTATCAACTATCAGCTATCAACTATCGGTCTTTATCGGTCGAAACCAACAACCACAGATAGCATTACCAAAAACACGAGAACGCTAAAAAGATTGTCCGTAAAACGTGGTATCTTACGTTCCACGTGCAAGGAATGACGATGATAAAGAGGAGAGAATGATTTACGAAGGAGGAACCACGGCGCACACTCGCATGCGAGTGTATACCGCGCGATCGTGATCGCTCTATACGTCGTGCTACTTCAGAAAAAAATAAAAGGTAGGCTTTATGGCGCGAGCCTCTTCCCTCTACCCTGGCCCGAAATCGCTTAGCATAATCCGTTGGACGATTCGACGAGGACGAAAGTGCGAGGAGGACGGAGAAGAGACGTGGAGGGGCGCGTGATTGGTAAGCTGAAGAAGGTGAGGAGACCTTGGTGGAACGAGAACGGAACGATGGCAAGTGCGCGCCATTTTCACTGCGCATCCACGTTGGCGCACCAATCAGATTTGAATCCTGGAAGTCGGTGGAAGGGTACCGGACCTCGTGGCTTCGGCAAACGGCGGACTCGAAACAGGCTTCCTCGCCTTGAAGATTCAGCTAGAACGAGTCGGACCGTCGTACGGTGAGGACCAGAGAAGCTCGGTTCTCGTGGCTTGCGTGGGGGAAGAGGCAGCGACGAATTTTCGAGAAGTCTTGACTGAAAAGTCGAAGGAAATCGATCGAAATATCGGAGGAACGGCTCGTCGAGGAACGGCTCGTCGAGGAACAGCGGACGCGCTTGAACGAAGAAAACGGCACGTCATCGAATTTGACTCCGAAATTACCTGTTACATCCGCTTCGAACGCAAACGCTGAAACGGAGAAAAGAAGATCGAGAATAACAGAGTGTTCCCTCGCGAGTTGGTTGCTGGAATTTGTCAAAACATAAGAAGTCTTCGAGATGCTGGCATCTTCGATGTGTCGCGAAGTTCACTTCACAGTGTTGTCCGGCACGACGATGACCTCGCGCGCACCACGCTGTTTGTCCGGCACGACGATGACCTCGCGCGTACCACGTTGCTTGTTCGGCAAGCCGAACTCGAAGGAAACCATGGAAATGCTGCGCGAAGAGCTCCAAATGGAGAGAAGCAAATTCATTAAACGATGGGGCGTCGATCCGCGATCTGGACAAGAGGACAAGGAGAACAGCTGCCAGAGGAAACGGCACGAGCAATCGCCGAAGAAACGAAGCAATCCGTACTCCAGACAAACCAATATTCACGGTGAGTACCGATGATCTTTCGATGATTTTCTACGCTCGAGTAGCGTAAATGGCTTTCTTGTTAATAGTACGTGACTCGGCCGTCACCTGGACAGTTCACGAACAAATTTCTTCATTTCCGTTAAGAAACCATTCTCCATATATTACGATACATTGCTGACAGAAACTGACGAAAATTTTCTCACGAAATCATCACGTAAATAGAATTCTATCGTTTGATACCAGTTGCTTTGCTGTACCGAACAATTTAGCAGCCGTAAATTTCCAAGTGGAACAACGAATCTGGATGTGACGTTTTTCGTGACACGTTTGGAAAAGTGTTCGCAGAGTTCGAAATAAATTTGATAAGCTTTAGTTATGGTGGCGTAGGGTGTCGTGGGTTTTTGGCGGGAAAGCGAGAGCGCTTGGCGAGGAAAGGGAAGGTAGAAGACGCAGGCGCAGGCCAGTCGCGTGGCTCCGACCTGTTTTCTTAGTCTAGCCTCGCTCTGCGTCTCTTCCGCCTTCCCTCCACCCTGTGTCTCTTCTGACCCTACCAAGCTTCTGGTTTTACGCGGCTATCCAGAAACTTTCGACCCTGTCTCGGCTATAACCCACTGTCGCTTTCCAAAACTCACCAGCGTGGGTCCTCTGAAATTTTTCTTTCCCCCTCTTTCTCTTTCTCACTTTCCTCTACTAATATTACATATACATATATACATAGCTCGTTGCATCTTCTCGTCCCGTCGCCGTTTCGTCCATTCACCGCGATCGTTGCCTCCGATTGGTCGTTTCGTTGAAATGAATCGTTCGATTCGTTGAAACGCGTTTCTGCATTGCTAACAACTGACGCAGAATGACCGATCGGTATAAATACCGAAGGCAACATGCAAACGGATAGAAGAAAGACCTAGGAAGCGTGTTCTCTCGCAGGTTGTCGAATGAATCACGCCAATGAGTCACTGGTGTTTGATGGCGGACGAAATACCTGAAGGGCTCCTCTGACTCATCGATGGGCTCCAGTTTTCAAAGAGTAGTACCAACTCGCGATCGCATTCCTTGAATTCCTCGAGCCTAACGCGCACCTAACAACCAGAGTAGCTTTACCCGCGTACACATACGAACGGTCGCCCGCTGCACAATGGATATCATATTTTGTCGGCCAAGTGCGTATTTCGTGTGCGACCGTTAGCGAGTAATATCGTTACTTTAGGATATAATGATCTGATTTCGTTGGATTAACTCTCTGCGAGCTGTAGATTCGCACGTTAGATGTTTTAGGTTTTAGACGCATCAACATCGGGCCGATACTCGCGATAACGAATTCCTGAATTATTCTTCAACCTGAAGCGTTACGAGGAGATGGGTGAAAAGCCAACGGAGCGAGACACTGCAACAAACCCTCTTCCACTAGCACCTGTTAACCTCTGCGGCACCGCTGCGACGACTTCGATGTCTTTTCCCACGATTAAATCAGACCCGCGAACACGCAATACCAACGGGGACCTTTCGAAGGTCGCGCACCACCTGTCGCAATACCTGTCTTCTTACGATCGCATTTGCATTTCCTTTATCCGTCCGTTTCTCGAACGCGAGGAGAGCATATGCAACGCGGGTTCAAAAAATTTCATCCTTCTTTCTCACCTTCTCTTCTTCTTTGCACGTGTTCTTTGCACGTGCAGATCCAATTGAGAACTTTAGATATACATAGCCTCTGGTGTATAGTCACCGAAAATTGTGGTGCGTTTCAAAAAAAAAAAAGAAGGAGGGAGATTTATGGCCTCCCTTTTAAAATCCTCTGGCTGGAAATTCTTCGTTCGATTGAAAAACTTTCAGAAAATAAGGGAGAACGTACCTCGGGGATCCACGCACAAAGGTAATCTCGATCTTTGTTCCCAAATCTTGTCTCGGAACATATGGACAGGTAGACATCGACCTCCTCGATATCGATGTTAAGCTATTCCGCAGGTTTGGGTTAGGCGAGGAAACAGATGTGTTGACAGACGAAATTTTCGAAACGGAGCCGAGGAGCCGGGGACGAAAAGAGAAACCAAAGGACGTTAGTTAAGGAAGCTTGGTTTCGCGCGCCATATGGCAAACCAGTGCTAAAAGCGAGGACGAGAGAAAGGGATCGTCGATGTCCGCGACATATGGCCGCTTCGCCGATTTCTTCCACCTCTTGCACTTGTCATTAACCCTTGATGGAATCAAGTTTCTTAATCTTCGTGCTGTTGATATCCGTCGACGACCGTTTCGCTTTCAGTCCACCTGGATCGGTCGTTTCTTCGAGTGATTATTTCTCAATTTCTTCGTGCAACAAAGAAGAAATCGTCAGTATGACATTATTAACCTCTTGCGCTGGAATGGACATTTTTTGTTCCAAAATTGTAATATTTTTCTCAGTTTTAAGTATATTCAGGTACAAAATAGGCGAAACAAATAGTAAATTTGTTACTTCTCAATAATTTCTATTTAGCGATATTGTACCGACGAGCTCAAAAAGCAGGCGACGAATTATTGTACACGATTTGGTCACTCGTTATGGTCCGCAATCGGTTGCCAGCGCAAGTGGTTAACTTCTTCGTGCCACGCATGTCGAGAATTTTTTGTTTGTTCCAAAATTGTGATATTTTCTCAGTTTTAAGTATATTCAAGTAAAACAAATAGTAAATTTTCAATAATTTTTCAATAATTTTTATTTAGCGATATCGTACCGACGAACTCAAAAAGAAAGCGACGAATTATTGTATACGATTCGGTCACTCGTTATGGTCCGCAATCGGTTGCCAGCGCAACGTGGCCAACGCGAAAATCGTATCTGCTGGGTGAAGAAGAGACGAGAGTTTGAGCAAAAGAGGGAAACAGCATAGGCGCTCAGGTGACTACCTGATCAAAAGTAGGGTGTCCACAAGGCACCGTTTTGTTCGTCCGCGGCTTTTGTTGTGGAAATTTTCGTGCTTCTCGCGTGGTCTGTTCCCCCCCTGTACCACGTTCAACTGCGTCGCAATAAACCGTCCAGCTTTTCAAGCGCGTCGTTCAACATTCTCTTACAACTTATTTTCGAACAAAGACGTCGCAACAGTTTTTATTTGAGATGCCTTGTCCTTTTTTTTCAATGGAGAAACACACGTATTTGCGAAACTACGGATAAATTGATTCGTAGACTCGTGCTTGAAATTTTAATTGAACGTTGCGAAATGTGCATACCGATTCGTAACCTGTCTCGTTTCGTTTGTTACAGATTACTGGCGTGCTCGGAAGGTATGCGAGGTGAATAAAAAGCCGCTTGCTTCGTCGATGGACTCTTCGAAACAGCAGAGCGAAGCGCCGAAAACGCCGAAGACGATGAAGCCATCGAAAACGGCGGCGCAAAAGTGAGGAAGCGGACTTGCATTTAATTGCAATTGGCTGCTTCGTCGTAGCGAGAATATCGGATCGCTATCAGATCTTGTATATTTATTCGTCATTGCTGTTGTATGACATCGTCGTCGTGGTAAATCAATTAATAGGTCGATGTTTGTTAATGTTCGTTAATCATCAGTTAGTTGTTAACTATCATATTTCTGTAGATACATTCTACATTGAGCGATATACATACATACATACATACATATATATATATATATATGTATATGTACATGGATATGTATATGGAGGTTTGAATGAGCTTACTGTTGCAATCAACATAACTAACACTCTTTGTACTCTTTTTCTCTTTGATGTCAACCAAAGAGTCAAAATGATGTATTAGATGTTTTGGCTCAAACGAGACAAGAACATTCTTTCGTCGCAGCCAAAACACGAGAGTAAATGACAGACGTCTTTTAAATTAATCACTAGAGTGAGCCTCATTCTGTTGGTTCTTCGACGAAGCAACAGTGCAGCGCCTCCAAAGAATAACTGAATCAAGCAAACACTCCACCACACTGTTTGTATCTCGTCTTCCGAGATATTGGAGATATTGGAGTCCTATATGATAAAATATATGTATATATATACACATATGTATATACAGCGTGTTCCGTTTAAATGAATACGATGGAATATCCGACAAGGTACTGATGTTATAAAAAAAAAGAATGTACGAATGAAAGTTGCTTAGTTTGGAAAGGAGACGCGGCATGCAAATTATTTTTTTGTCGGTTGAATGGTGGGACAGATTTCAAAGTCAACTATATTTTTTAAAATGGAATCATATGATTTCGAATGTACTGATATCGATAAAAAAAAGTGTTAACCTATTTACTTTCACTTTAATATCATAAAACTTATCGCTTGAAAAACAAGGACAACATAAACATAAGAATACCACTCGTATCTTCCCTTGATAAATTTTGCAAAATTAAGGAAAAAATCTCAGATTAGAATAAGTTTTTCGACATGAATAAGTTAATACTTTTTTTTATAGAGAATGGTTAGATAAATCGATGACTGCATTCGAAGCAACTTTTATTGAAACATATTTTTATAACTCTGAAATATTCTGCCGTTTTCAGTTCAAACGGCATCTTGTATGTACGTATGTCTAATTAATTTAAATTGTAAAAAAATCTCTAGTCACCTAGTTATCTAAGGAAATTAAATAATAAACAACCGTGCTTTCATACATATTCGCTATGGTATATACTCATTTATCCCCTTCCTCCTAATTAAATTAGAATTGATCGTACGTAATTGTTGGGTATTCAACCCACGAAAGTTAAACGGGATCGTCGAAAATTAGGCAGCTGAGCCGTGCAAATGCCAAGTTTGTAACGAACATTTTGTAACATTCACCTGGATTCTAACCATGACGCTCTACATGGCACGCACGTACGGTGAATTACAGGGTGGCTGGAGGTAATGATCGTTATCAAATAAAATTTTAAAACACCAATAAAGGCAAGCTAAAATTCGTACACGTGAAATATTCTAATAGTTTCATCAAATGAACGACTACATTTCGATCAGTATTCAGTATCGCGAAAAAAACGAAACGAAAGATGATCAAAGGGAAAAGGAACGACGTTGACTGCTCGATTTTTTCCTTTGGTATACCCTGTATGGACGCGTGTTCATGAGCACGCGTAACAGTGAGCATTCACTTATCTTCGATGTGGTACGAGCATGGGGGTGGCAGAACACTATACATATATATATATATATATATATATATATATAGTTAATTATAATGCGTGATGCACCGCAGGGTCTTCTACTATGGGGGAACTTTACGAAGCAAGGGGAAGCAGCTGGTTCGTGTTTTTAATGGCTGTCATCCTAGCTGGTTATTTTTTGATAATGGTAACTAATATGGTTGGTTCCTGAGGCTTGTAGGATCGTGTTAAATCCAAACACATCGAGGAAAAGTTCCGACCAGGCTAATGATTTCCGAACCATGACGACATTGCACGAATATTGCCAATTTTTCCACGTTTAATATATTTTCGTTTTCACGTGAAAATTTAATTAAACTAATACTGTTCGGTATTTTTAAATACCGCTGATATTAATCTCTTGCGCTGAAATGACGAGAATTTTTTGTTCCAAAATTGTAATATTTTCTCAGTTTTAAATATATTAAATAATAAAAATTTATTACTTCTCAATAATTTCTATCCAGCGATATCATACCGACGAATTCGAGAAGAAAGCGACAAATTATTGTATACGGTTTGGTCACTCGTTATGGTCCGCAATCAGCGCAAGTGGTTTAAGAGGAACGATATTGACTCTCGCATCGCAGCTTTCCAGTACAATTGGAAACCTAAAACAGGACGTGACCTCATCGCGTTATTGTATCCAAGATCGTTAAGGACCCGGTCGTTGCGATATCCAATTACTTGAGAAAAAGAGAGAAGTGCAAAGCAAACCAAAAAAAAAAAAAAAAGAAGAAAGAAAAGAGAAGGAGCAAAAAGAAGAGAAACGCGCCACAATGGAGACGAAGTAAATTACAGGAAAAAAGAGGAGAAGGCAAGGACAAGGACGACAACGCCAACGGTAGGTCATATTTTCATCTCCTCGTGCTCGTGAAAATCCAGGTGCGCCACTGTGTGTGCGCTTAATGAGCGTTTATCGTTGGTACACGTGTAATGTAGGCCCCGTCGCAACTTTAATTGATCGAATTAGTCGTGGAATCAGCTTACATTGAAGTTACACCTGACCCCGACGAACTTCCGACGAATCGATTTTGATGGATCGTTGGTCCGTGCTCGAAAGATCAAACTCTTTCAGACGATACTGAGGTTAATCGATCATTTTTTACACGCCATCGAGTTCATTAACGGTCATTTCGACGTAGGTCTACTCCTCTCTTTTCTTCCCCACCTTTGTCCACTGCATGATCGAGCGTTTTCTGGCGCGCTAAAAATATTCTTTAACGTTTTTTTTCCTCCTCCCCTTTTTTCGCGTACGTGTTTATTTAATAAATGATATTTCAGGCAAGCACTCGCCGCGTTCAATGACATTAAACGATCGAAAAAAGAAAAACGTGTTTCTCGAAATGTTTAAAAATCGTTTTAACCAGCAAAAAAAAAAAAGAAAAAAAAAAGACGCAACAGACGAATAAATGAAACGAGAGAATAAACGAGTTTCATTCAAGACGAAGATTAATTTTTGGAATAATACGGTAATAAATCATATCAAACGTCTGGAAAAAAAAAGACAAGTTTCTTGAAACGTTCGAGAATTATTATCATACGCGCTGTGGTGGATGGTTTGTCTGGTACAAGGCAAACATTTAACGGACGAATACAGTAGCCGATCAGAAGGGACAGAATGTAAACGAAGCGACAGATACATTGTGGCCGTTTCGTAGAATCGAAGAATAACTAAACGAGGGGGGGAGGTAATGTCCGATGGAAATCCTTCAAATGATGACCACAATAGCGTAACGAACTTGCAGAGTGGCATTTTGCTTTCTAACGGTAGCACGCGCCTGATGTTTTCCTTTCTCCAGGGACCCCGTTGCTCCCTGCATTAACTAATACCCTGCAAACACGCGCGTTGCCAGGGGTGTAACCGACTGCTCTAATTAAAGGACATTCATATCGGATGGACTCCAACCTTCGAACCCTTTTCACTCGTGTTCGCGGAAACTGGTCCGGATGACCAGTTCGCTTTCACACGCGAGGGCCATTTGCCATTTTGTTCGCTCCAGCTTTTTACGTTAACCCATTAATCATCGCGAAACGTCAGGGATTTTGAATCGTGATGCTCTGACTAACTTTGGCAAGATCGGAATATATTCGAGTACCATGAACCCCGAGGGCTTCTCAAATTTTTAACCTTTTACCCGAGCGGATATTTTCGCAAGGGTACAGAGGTATATAAACTACGAATTAAAACATCTGTTAATAAATGATAATAAATCGTCAAGAAAATTTGCTCATACGAATATAATTTTATTCAAGCCAAATATTCATATTCAATTTTTTAATTTAATTATGTGACTCCATATGGAAATTGCGACTCACCCGTTACAAACGAGTGAAAGAATTTTTTATCTTCGAGAATTCGATTTTTTCCTCCAAGATTACCACTCTTTTTTTTTCTAAATTAAAAGCTGAAGGACATTTATACAAAGATACGTAGGCTGCATAGGAGACAAAACGAAAGTTAAACGTAGTGGAGCGCGCAAGAGAGTGCACGTGTCGATTCTTGGAAAGGAAGTGGGAATTACAGGGAAAAGAAAAAAAAAAGAAAAAAAAGAAATGAGGAAATTAACCCGCTTCTTGTACGTGTCCATAGACTGGACGTCTATACGATGACGGTCCACATGGTGCACGATGCGAAGCTGCACTCGAGGTACATCTTAACGATTGATAGCGATAGTAATTCTGTCGACGCTCCGAGGAACGAGCGGGTTGAATGCCACATAAATCCGTCGATCGCACGAGAGAGTTCGAGAATGGCGCTCGAGAATTAAACAAGAAACGATGCGAAATGTCACGTCGTTGAATCGACGCAGATGGCTTTACGTTTCTTTAAAAAAAAAAAAAAAACGTCGCGTAAATAGCTGTTAGCTCGAAACTCGCAGTTACGATAAATTAAATGCTGATTACGAGAGAGAAGACTTCAGGAACAGATTTGCTGCAAATAAATCACAAAGGAAACGCGGACAGAGGCAGGATGAACGAAAAATCGTGCGGAGAGAGAACGACGATTTTTAGTCCCGATGAAATTTCAACCGGGCCGATTTCCCTTCCCTCCCCCGCCCACGATTTCGTTTCGTCGGTTCGATTCGCCCGGTTATAGTTATAGTTACGAGATGCAAGTACGTTTGCAGCGGTGTGGTTCGACGGCAGATGTCCCACGGGAACCGAGTTCTCTGTCCGATGGACCAAGACTCACCGCAAAAACTGATCGACCGTATTGAACCGTGCGGAGTTACGATCTACCGAGAAACGATCCGAGGAGACCCCGTCGTCTCACGATAGTCTTCTTGGGAGAATCACCGTTGCGAATTCGATCGGAGCAGCGACCACAGAATCCTCGAAATCCTCATTCTCCCACAGCCATGGTTGCCAATCACCTCCGGTGATTACCGACGACCGAGACTCTTCTTCGAGCGTCTCTTCCATTTGTCTAGCGATAAATGCAAAGCGCAGAATTTCCGCGAAACCGGAAGAAAAAAAAAAAAAGGAAAGAAAACGAGGCGAAAGACGAGTGGAAAGAAAGGAATAGACACGGCTGTGGTTAACGCCTTGCTAGGGAGGAGGGGGTAAGGTTTTCGAGGGGATCGTTCGGCAGGATGCCTCGCCTAGATCCTGTCTGGAGGCCGAAGCGAGGCCCTTCGAACCGTGAAATCACTTCCACCCTGAATATAAAGAGCGAAAACGCGAGTGTCCGTTTGTGTTTCGCCCGTTCCGTTCCACCGCCTTCGGGATTGTCTTGGAAATCGTTAAGCGCCCGCTAGTCTTCTTCCCTTCGTGCACCGAAGCCATCGCTCGTGCATCGTCCAAGGCTCACGAAAATGACTCTTCCATCCCCGGGTAATTTAAAGTAATCGCCGCTTGGCACTTGGCGCTTCGTCTCTCGCTGAAACGTACACCTCGCATTTCAGAGATATACCGTACTATTAGCGTGGCATTCGACGATGCGTTATTACGAATGCCTAAGAAGCAACGAGCAGAACACACTTACGATACACTTAAAATTCCACGTCGTGGCAGTTAGCGAGCGTCCATTATCACGGGGAAGAGGGGACAGGGCTTCGGAGACAGTTTTCGATCGCTGGCTCGAAAGTGCAGCACCGCTCTCTCAGATAAGCGGTAACGGAACACGGCCGATGACTACGAGATCCAGGCGTTTTAAATTTATCGCGAAACAGCGAGACATCCTTCCGCCAGGTCCCCGCTAATGTACCTCGCGAGCTCTTAAACGCGAGATACGCGTTTTTACGTCCTGCGCGTTGAAGAGTTCCGCGAGTACCGCGTTAACTCTCTTGCGCTGGAATGACGCGCCACGTACGTCGAGAATTTTTTGTTCCCAGATTATACTACTTTCTCAGTTTCAAATATATTTAATTAAGACAAAATAAGCAAAACAAATAATAAATTCATTGCTTCTCAATTATTTTCTATCCAGCGATGTCGTACCGACGAGTTCAAAAAGAAAGCGACGAATGATCGTAT